AGAGACCTCATCATATCGAAGAGAACTGGAGTTGCACGGAGACGGGGCCCTCAAACCACCACCTCCACCCGGATTGGAAGTGAGGTGGCTGCAACGTTCTTCCACATTGAGGACTTTGTCTCTCCACTGCCCTGGCCAGATGGGTGTCTAGTCCAGCTGGGAATCCAGGTGCTGCATGAGGTCCCTGCCTTGGATGCAAAGGCAGACCACCCTCAGCCTGCCGCGTGGTCTCTGTTGCATTCTTTGCATGTCTCTGCACTGCATTTGACTGGCTTGTAATGCATGCTTGTGCTCACTTATTGTACTTTGAGATCTTTCATTGTACACGTGCCTTCAAGCAGCTGGGATTGCAGCAGGTGTTGCATAGTCTGAGCCCTGCAGTCGCAGGTGGTTGAACCACTGGTATAGCCCCACTGCATTAGCTCCTTGGAGTATCCAACTCGGGTGCGTAGGTGGTTGAAACATCACCACCTTTGCCTTGGTTCGTTGGCCCCTGCTGGTAAGGATTCAGCCACTCGACTATCCTTTTTGCTGTCGTGTATTGTGTGTGTGCCGGGGGAAGGGTGTCAATTCCCCCCAGCCTCTTGTTCCACATTTGTAGTCGTAGTTTGAAGTATTAGCAGAATTTGCAAGTGTTACCTGACAGGGGTCATGCTATGAGCACTTCTGCTGTGCCCCCCTTTTTTGCATTGCTGACCCAGAAGGAAGAGTACAGGTTTCAGGGGAAAAAATGTCTGGTTTTTTTTTTTTTTTTTATTACGGTTAACAGCTGGTGGGTGGACCAGAGGCCACTAATTGTGTTAAGAAGCTTCCCTTAATTACTGCTATTAACCCACTTTACAAATTCAATGTAAAATACAATCCCTGCCATTGCCTTTCTTACAATGCAATATTTTATCCACTTCCACGTGCACAACATCTGCGTGCGTGGATTGTATCTCCAGTATTAGCATGCCCCAGAGCAGTTCATTTCACAGTAGTATACATTGATCCTATGAAACATGAACTTTCATTTCTACCCAGGAGAACTTTTACCATCTTTTCTCAGATGCCTGATGAAGGGTGTTTGTGCTCAAAAGCTTGCAATTAAGGAAATCCTTTTTGCAAAAATCTTGTTGGCCTAATAAAAGATATCACCTCTACCACGAGTCCTGATTGCCTTTTAATATACACTGAGGCTCTTTGTCAGGGACGGCCTTCTTGTTCGGGCTCTCGTGCAGGGTTCACCGCAACCAGGGGATGCCGCATGGCTCGAACTGGCAGGTACCCCAGTAACACAACTAACAGCACCTGAGACCCCTGATCCCTCCTGCCCGGGCGCTGGGGAGCCAGGGTAATTGGTTTCATCTGAAGATTGCAGAGACCAGAAGGAAGCATGATTTTTTTCCTCCCATTTAAACCCCAGGGGCTTTAGGAGCATCGTGACTCCCTGCTCCATTGCAGGGGCTTGCAGCCTTGGTGGCCGTCACCAGAGACCCGTGAAACCTTGCACGAGAGACCCGTGAAACCTTGCGCCTAGATCCTAGCTGGCTTCCAAAGCCCTTCGGGAGTCTGCGGCTGTGTCTGCGCCTCTCCAGGGAGCAGCGTTTAAACCCAGTGTCTTATTTAAGCGTGGAGAGGAAGCCGTGGGAGCCCGGCTGGGCCCGCGGCAGCGCCGACCTTGCTGCCGCCCCTCCGGAGCGTGGGCCTGACCCGTGCGCCGAGGAGGTTGCGGGTAGCGTGCTCCTGCATTACGAGCAGGAAATCTCCTGGGCCCAGGCCCTCACTGCACAAATTACCCAGGGAAAATGGGCAGAAAATCTTCAGATTAACAATAACAAATAAAAATGGATTTGAGATCTCAGGGGTAATTACTCCGTGCTGAGGGCAAGGTGCCTCTTTAGCACTCTGAGCAGCGCCTCGCTGGGGAGCACGGGGGCTCGTCCTGCGGCTGAGCCAATGAAGTCACACCAGAAGCCCTGGAAATTCTTTCAAATTGTTCTGCTAACATTAATAAATGCCTCAAAAGCTCCTAATCTGCTCTGTCAGGAGCATGACGTCCGGGCGTTTCACAGCCAGCTCACGTCCCTGCTCCTTGTCTCCCACACTCCTTTCCTGATTTGTAATAGTAAGTGAAAGTGGCACCCGTTCCTCCAGCTGCCCGGGCTGGCACTGTGGCGAGCCCAGGCCCCCGCTGGGGGAGGACGCCCCGCTGGCTAGTGTCCCGGACCAGAGCCCGGCGGGGACACGGATCATTATTAGCGGCAATAGGATTTATTATTTGTGTTCCAGTGCTTAGCGGCCCAGCCAAGACTGGGCCCCCGCGGTAGATGCTGCACACACACAAGGTAAGGTCTGTTCCACATGCCGCTCTTGTGCCACTGGGGTTATTTGGAGTGGAGGGTGGGGCTTTCCCCCCACGAAAATAAGTCGACGAGTGCTGCCCTTAATGTGGCCGCTGTCGCACTGTTATGGAGGTGCCTCGGGGGAGCAGCCTGTTACCTAGCCAGAGCTGCGATTCGGAGGCACAGCTATTTATTTTCAGGGCTATGCGGAGCCTGCGAGCGCAGGGATGGGACTGTGTGACCCACGTGGCACCTCCATCTCCTGTGTCCTCCGAGTCCGATCTGTAAAGCAAAGGCAGAGGTCGCAAAGAAGGTTTCTGGTGACGGCAAGGGGAGGAGGACGGGTCTGATGGACAGGGGTGAAGGAAGGGCAGCTCGACCCACATCCGCGGAGACACTCTTTGTGCGTCGGGGCCCTACGATCCGAAGCACGGGGGGGATATGGAGCAGGTGCAGGTGTGTGCAGGGGGATGTTGAAGGCATGCTCTTGGGGCCTCGTCTCTTCCCACGAGCTCTCCCGCGTGGACTGCCTCAGGCTGGAGCTGTGCGCTGCGGTGCCTCCTGACAGCGGCTTTGGGGTGCACACGTTAACCCGAAATGCCTAAGTGAGGGTGAAGTGCTTAGCTGAGCCGCAGAAAAGCTGGTGCTTTACTGACGGAGGAGTGGGCAAAGGCGCTGTGCTTGGAGGGAGAGGGCCCACTCCACCATCCCTCTCACCCCGACTCCCCTCCCGGTCTCTCCCTCGGACAGGGGGTGCAAGGGGAGCAAGCTGCGGCCTGCCCTTGTGGCTCCTGGTCTGTAGCGGGTTGCAGAGCGTGGCACGGGGGCAAGGGCGCAGCCCAGCATCGCCTGCTGCCCGGCCCAGGGGTAAAGGAGCAGCCCCTTCCCAGCAGACCGTCTCCTTCCTTGGTGCAGAGCTCTGCGCAGGGCTGAATTGGGTCCTACATCTTCCAGGACCTGGGGCACGGAGAGAGCCAGGGCAGAGCAGTCGGGAATTAGTCGCACACGCTTTCCCCCGCCGGGCACGGCACCCCCAGAGGCTTGCGCTACTGGCTTCCCTCCTATTTCTACCAGCACTCCTCTCTGTTCTCGGCCCCCAGGGAGCTGGGGGTGAAAGGCAGGGGAGAGGAGCCTGGGGTATCTGTGCCCATGTGCCTACATCCCTAGATGCCCGCCTGAGGTCCCTGCCAGCCCCGCTTTTCTACGATTCAGTGCACTCTCGTTGGGGCATGCGGCACGTGACGCAGCTCCTCTCGCCCTCCCTGCCACAACTGCTGGCAGGTCTGGGTGGGGGTCTCCGTTTTAAGCTCTCACTGTGGGCAGAGCTGGGAGAAACATGGGTAGCTATGGGCACCCTGTGCTTAGGACTGCCAAACGGCCATTGCATCAAATTTTCCATGCCAGCCTCTCCTACTAACTTTTTAATTTTGACCAAAACAATTTGGTCCTGTCTGAGAATGAGAATAAGGGAAAAAAATATACTGGTTTCCCTGTGTTTAAAAAGCCATTCTCACAACAGCTTCCCTGAGGAGCTCCACTACTTCTAAGCTTCAAGCATCAGAATTTGATATTTGCTTCTCTCTTTTTGTCTCCCTGAAAAAAGGCAGCCGAGGTTGGCCAACGCACAGGCAACCTTACGTGTGCTATTCCCTTGACTTTGCAATCCCCGTGTTGTTTGAACGTAGGTTTTTATGTGGGGTCGCGATGGTACCGTTGCCCCCGGAGTGGATGTACGTCTTTGGCGAGACTTTCTCTTCTTGTGGCTACCTTCTGCTTGCTCCTCTTCAGTCGATATCCAGCCTTCTCTCTCCAAGTTTGCACCCACTGGAGAAGGATTTGTGTGCTGTGCGTGTCGCGGTGGGGTCCTGATCTAGCCGAGGCCTGTTGGGCACTGGACGTAAGGCAGTTCTGCCACAATGCTCCTGCTAAATCACGAGCACGGTCAACTCTTTGCAGGCACAGAATGAGGAGGCTGAAGAGCCCACGGTGTGGGTAGAGCACGCTGAAGTGCAAGAACAGAGAGAAGACATCCATACGCTGCAACATGGATTCATTCCTATTTTAAACATGCTGCCTCTTCTCGCAGACATGCTGTGGTATTTGCAAAAGGTCACCTCTTGATGTGTAGG